GAAACCCCGAAACCAATCAAATAATTATGCCGGAACGTTCACCTGGCGTGTTACCTTGTAGTATACCATAAAAGTGGCAAATAACAATGTAGAGCAAGGGAACCGTTTGGCAATGGTACAGCCGTGACGAAATGACGACGCTGTTACTGTAAACCGGCTATTGTTCGAATCCAGTTGCAAGAATCATCTTTGTCATAATTGTGGATCGTTAACCCCAAGCCGAGGTCGCTGTAATCAGTTGTGAATGGATCATGTAACCTACTTAGAGATGTGATCCAATTGTTTCGCAGGAACATCGTCTAGGTATTCTGAAATCTAATAAATATACTATACTATGTTAGTAATCTTTATGAAAAAGTGAAAACGTTTCACGATGATCCAATCATTGTTTTATATGATATAACACTCCACATAACCTACATAAATGTAACTATGAAGTTTTGTTTGCTAAATATTACATAACATAATATAAATCATTTAAACAACATATAAAACTAAATAACTTAACTAAACCTATTACGAACATTAGTTTCTTTAACTCAACTTAGCGTGAGTGAAAGTTTACAGACTTGTCTTTAAACATTAAGTATGTTTAAAGACAAGTCTGTAAATCTATCTAATCTATCTACTTATCTCACTAATTCTCTAAAAACTATATTAAAATTACTTTACAAAATTTAGGAAATATCTTTAACTTAATAAAATATATATTAATATTCTTCCGAATAACTGTGTAGGTATGTATAAAATTATTATAAATTAAGTCACGAAGTTGTGCAAACTTACTGATTATAAATTTTAATTATAATAATTATCTGTACTATACTGCTAATGGATAAAACTAACTATTTTACTAGTACAATATCAAAATAAAAATAATTATCTTTACTTATATATTGCAAAACATTCGTCTTAAAATATTTCGTTAAGTGTTCAATTAATTTTCTTCAAAGTTTTCTGTTCCTAATATTAATCAGTAAGTACCTCGATTTTAGTCAAATTATAATTTTCGCCTGCTTAATTACACGTCAGATTAATATCTTAATTGCTGAGGAAAATGGATCCCGTTGTGGGATTACATAGAAAATTCATTCTGAAATTACATTGCAGTTAGATTAAAATTAAGTGTTTATCTCTAATTGTACAGATTTAAAAGTAAGAAGTTAATTTACGTAAATAAACGTAAAAAAACGTGAATTATAATAATAATATAATGCTGTCATTCTTTATATAAAAATTTTTAATCACGAGTTACAATTCCATATTATAATTAGGTAGGTACGTCATTCCTATTCGGATTAAAAGAAGACAAGTTTTGGAGGATGTTTTTTATTGTAATTCAATAGGGGACATTGGAATTATATTTTTAGTATTACTTTCATAATTTGAAGAAATTAAACAACGTCTTTTAATAGCAAACGTTAAAACATGTTGTTTAAAGGTCTGATATAAATCTGCTTCTATTGTAACTTTAATATTAAAATATTTTGTTTTATATTTAAATGTTTTTTGTTTCTGTCTCTTGATATAAGTACAGCATCAGTCAGTGAATCAGTGAATCATTTAATATATGTTACAATTCGGAAATTAATAAATTATTTTTACATTCATAATTCATATATTACACGGGCATAACTCTATTGTTGTAAGAATTCGGACTAAACCGGCACAGGAATAAGAAATATATGCCGGTATAGTATGTAATTACGTTTTACTTCGCCATCCTGGTCCGAAATGCGACCACAGGCTTACTATAACAAAGGATGGGTATTCTCCATTCGCATAAGCCGTGATTTGGTCGGATTGCATTAACCTACTTTTACAACTTTAATAGAATCGGAAATGCCCTCTGTGGAAGCGTTAACTATAAGTATACGAATAGTTCCATTGCGATGGGCACGATTCAGATTATTGGTCCATATGTTTTTGAGGAACTAAGTAAACCAAAGAATTCATGGAATTTGGTAATTTGTATACCATTGAAGTTGTACATTCGTTTAGAAGAGCTACAAGCAAATTCACTGCTGATTTTTCAAGTTTGGTACTATACACCTAGTGAGCGGTAGATAATAAAAAAAAATATGATAAGTGTTTAAAATTAAGCGTATATGATTAAAGATTACCTATATTTTAAACATAAATGTAAATTTTATTTGCAACGAGAAGCGGAAGGAAGCAACACTAACATGGCTCTCTGGATTAAATAGACATTATATTCTGCCAGGGTCAGGTACATGTGTTAAATTGCGGTACAATTTGTGTTCCAACAAGTAAACTCGTGTTAGTTTTGTATTGGCGTCAGTTTATTGTAGGAGCGTGGGTGTAAAGGTTCATCGAAGCGATGAGACGGAAGACTTGTCGATGTCGTTTCAGTTCATCTTTGTACGTACGTAGGTGTCTGTTCAGGTAAACAAATCTACGTATTACCTACCTGTATAAACAATAAACTTATCTAAATAAACGTTTTCACATAACCACGATTATTTTTAGTCTCTGGTTTATAATGATAGTTCCTGATGCTATTGGTAAAAACCTCATTTTAAGGACTTCTAATTTTAATACATGAGTAAATCTATTTATCTAAATAAACGTTTTCGCTGTGTGTGTATGTGTTCATTCATGTATACATACTGCAACATTAATTTAATGTAGGTATGCTAATGTTGACTTTTTTGCTAAATAAATGTATATTATTATTATTATTAAAATGACATACGTCACAACATGGTCCTGTTTGTAAATCAATAATCGTTAAATGATAAGCATTAATTGTAATATTTATAGGTACCACATACAATTACGATTCATTGATGCCTTATGGTTATCATAGAATAAATGGTCACGCTATGACGTCTCAATTTATGAATATTCCAAATTTGGAAAGCATATTATATATAATATCGTTCTCGTATCGGAAGTTTTAATAAGTAACTACCTATTAAGTTTAATGACTGACATACTGCTATAAAATGAGGTTTCTACATCCATATATCTATTACAGTTATAACATGAGGAATATTTTAATCAACTGCTAAATAAAATAGAGTAACATGTGTGTGTGTATAATTGTTACAAACCCTAACACAAGACAAAATGGCATAGCTAAAGAAAGTACTTATAAAACAAAGGGTTCAAATTCTGTTGGAAAGCATTTATTTCTATTCAAATATTGAACAGATTCTCCTTCATATATATATCCTTAGTAAATAAATTTTTAACCTGATTATGCTACTAGAATAGCAAACAAGCCAATGGCTCACAAGATCATAAATTGCAACCATAGCCAATTGGCTCATATAGGTATAATTTATCTATATGAACAGTACCATAAAATAAATCATTGTATACTAGAATTCCCAACAAAACTCCTCATATGTTACCATTCTAAAGAACTAAGCTGTCACTTGCATACTCCGCATATTCGCTGATGTATCTTAACAAATACAGATAATAAAACAAGTAAATGGCAGAAATAAGTGACAGACAGAGGTTCCAATGCAGATGATTTTGTACAAATTCCACCTTAGTAAAATTTCAATAAACCAGTAGTTAATCGGTATAGGGATCTGAGATCGATAAATAGAAAAATTGTTTTTTCAACCAAAAAAGGAGATTTTTCAATGCTACATAGCACTGGAGTGATTGAGCAAATCAATATTTCACCCTAGAAAAACAATATTTTTTTGTGTTGATAATAACCATACTTAAAATTATTTATACATCTTTCATACATAATATCTCAAAAACTCATGACACCTCATGAGATTTTTTACAATGCTTTAATGATATGACATTATAACTCTAAATATAGAACATTTCAACTTAGTGCCATTGAAAGTCTATTGTGCCACTTTTTAATTTCAGGAACATCAGATATTTAAATCTAATTGTCTATCCATCATTATAAAATAGTTAAGCATAATCAATAGGTAAATTTATATGAATTCCTAAGTTTTATTTTCTACTTCCAATTAAGATTTGATTACCTAATTACCTTAAGTAGATAATTTATTAATTATTCATTGTTTAACTGTTTCATTGTTTCCTTTTATTATTACCATTTAGGTTATGCTTCATAAGAATTATTAGCGATAAATAAATTAACTGTATAAAATCTGTCTTCTCACCTCCACCAAAATATGTTTTTAAAATTCAAAGTTACATAAAAATGTCCATAATTATACAATTGTATTCAAAATTAGAAATATTAATAACTGTAAGTAAATAAAATTAATTTTATATGCCTTAATAGAAATCTGAATCCATACTAATATTACTTTTATTATGAAGTAAGTAAACTCCGTAACCACTAGATCTTTTTGAGAAATTATTTTATTTTTAAAGATATATTTTTACAGAGTAACTTAGGATATATATTAATATATACTTACTTACTTAAAGCTTACAATCATAACTTACACCAAAAGTCGGGGCAAATCACTAGTGTAAATATGCAATAACTAAGCTCCTAATTATTGTGTCTAAGCAAGCTTTATTTAATAGCAATATGTGTTGCATTTTGAAGATGAGATAGAATGAAAAGTGATATGTGGCAGTGAAACTTTTGTGTAGGTACAAAGACAACTTTATGTTCAGTAATAACAATAAGTAAATGAGAGGTAGCATTGAAATCACATTTGAATCTATGCTATCCATTAAGTATGCTTTTTAAAGGCCAAATGATAATTTCCACTGTTCATAATTTGATAAGTATATCATATCCTCTTTAAGACCTAGTTAAAAATGTCTGTAATTACTTTTATGTAATTATATGTATTTTAGTAATGATCGATGTATTTTAGTATATAAAAAATTATTGAAGTTCCATAAACATATTCTAATATTAAGTACTTTTAGGAGTAGTCACAACCAGAAGATAAATGCCTTTGCTCTTTTCAAATAATATAACTCAATTTGAATGGGCAGGTGGAGAGAAAGGAGTATTACCCAAACATTATATTATTATGACCTCTAGCGATATTGGGCAATAAACAACTTACCTTATCTCCTGGGATGTTTTTCGCCGACATGGTGCGTCACCTTGCCGTTGTATTATACGACGTCGTCTTGGGGACGATTTATCCAGAGAAAGGATCTCACTGTTGCTGTTACTGGCCAGCATACGACACAGAACACTTCACTTCATCAAACACTTGGCCATCATTACAGACAGAATGATGCATCAGAGCCACAAACACAATAATCGACCCATCGTTTCGAGTCGTAATCAACACAATTTCCGATTGATATTCATCGACACAGATAATTTTTCACAACACTGTACACAAACACAGCGACTGACAGAAGCTTACTTGATTGAGTTCAGCTTTGACGTAAAATGGCGAGGGATGGTTGTCCTCCCTCCTCTCACTCCGCGCATGTCATTTTGATTCAATTCTGGTATTGAGTTATAGAGGTCAGCACTCTGCACAATAAAGCAACAAAACAGCAGTACAAATAGCACATTGGACACATATCTGTCTGATATTTCCCAATAGATGGCGCTTTACTTAAATAGATAAACTACGCAAAGTATTAACATGTTTCTATAATGTATTATTAAAAAAAATCAGTGCATCAAGATAAAACAATATTTATTATTATTTAAAACAAAAATGCTGAAAGAAATCATGAGGACCGTAAGTTTGTAACGATGTTGTTAGACTGCGACTGCGTATATTATCCATCTGAGAGTTGCTAATTGTTTACGGTTCGCAATTGCAATAGTTAACGGTTCATATATAGCTACAAAATTGTAGATTTTTAATCTAATTCAAATGAAAATGCTGTTAAAATCTTTGTATATTCAAAGTCAAAATTAAAATATATGAATAAAAATATTAGGATCTTAATATTTGAGAGACATCTGTGATCAGATTTAAATGACTATATATAAAATAACTCACGTCTTTATATATTTTAGGCATTATATAAATTAATGTTATGTTTAATTTAAATTTGTATTCTATATTTCTTATTTATTGGCAATAAAATATTATAGTTATATTAAGTAGTAATATATTTTTCTTTCTTAATGATATCATGAATTAAACATATGTCTATCATATGTTTAATTACATATCTCAAAAATAAATAAACACATACATAGACTTATAATATAAAGAGTAGTTAAGTGAGAAAACAAAGAAAGAGATAATTAAGATAATTCTCATAAAGCTTCGTTCAAACTCTATGGGGAGAGGAGAGCATACTTCCTCTATGGCAGAGCAAACTGGAATTAAAAATAATAGAATAAAAAAAAAATACAATCGTCATTTCGCAAAATGGCGGACGGCGGCGTGGATATTGATCTCTACGCCGACGATATTGAATCGGATTTTAATAGACAAGTGAGTAATTTCCAGTAATTTATTAATCAAATAACTATATTTTTATTGACAATAAATTCGTTAATTTTAGTATTGAATGATTTATCACCGTTTGATAGAAATAATGGAGGTTGTTTGGGCGGCGTCTTTTCAGGATGAGTTCGGTGGTGACAATGTGGATTTGTACGACGACGTGATTGCGGCACCTGTTGTGAAGCCTGAGGATGGTGATGGGCCTCCTAACGCGGGAGCTCCGCAACATTCGCATCCGCCAGAGGAGACAAACGGCTCTTCTCAATATCACAACAGCGCACCAAACCACGGACATCATGGCCGCCGCTTCCAGCTTTACGTCGGCAACCTAACCTGGGTTTGTACAAGATTTTGTCTCATTTAGACTATAATGTAAATATAGGATGATCAAGTTGTTCTATTTATTATCCAGATATCTGTTTATCCCTGTTAATTACACGGATGATCCGATGTTTGTGGCTTGCCATTTACTGTCATCAGTTCGGTACATTTTCCTAAAAGGGCATATATAATTTCAATTCAGTTAGCATTTCTACTATGGTAATATTATTTTAATCTTATCTCACAACTACTTGATCAAATGTAACAAAATAATTTGTAAACAACTTACTGTATAAACAGTAATAATTACAAAGCAGTAATAACAAATATAACACAAATATTCTATGTTTATTATACTATGACAAGGTTTCAAAGTATTTACTCCAAGCTGGTGACAAATGGAAGCTGAGTGTGTAACCATATGATAGATATAATATTGTTGTTTATATTTATTAATTTTATCATCTTGTCTAACTCAGTTCTAATGAATGTTAGGGATTAAAATTACAATAGACCATAAGTAACTATTATTAATTTCATTTAGTAATGAATCTTGATGGATCACCATGCTGTTTTATAATAATGCATAATTTCCTATTCAAATTAAAGTAATAATATATCCTTCTTTGGTTTCATGTTACTTATATTATAAAACCTCATGGTCATAATAATCAAATATAAACGTAATCAAATAAGGTGCTGTCAAATAGGTTTTTGGTGTTCAATATATCAAGTACAAAATATGTCAAAATATGGATAATTATGAAGAGACATCGAACAATTAAAACTGACACAAAAGTGGCACATAAACCTAAATTTTCAATAAAAACTGTGTCAGCTTTAACTGAAGGTGTGTATGTCAGGCTTTGTCACCTAAAAATAAAATTACTTTTTAATTTGTTATTGTTATATATACATATTACAGTGTCCTGCAATGCCACAACTATTTACTTGTGGCAAATGAAGAATTTAAAAGTGGCAACTCAATTTTCAAAATACAATTATGTTCTTTATAATATGAAAATAGATGAAAATGGAATGCATCATTGTCATACATTTTTGTGATACTTTTACAATATAATATATAGGTATGTTTTCCGATGTTCACATTAAAATTGAGTATGAAATATATTTGGAAAATTGTTAGATATTTCTGAAATGAGTTAGACATCTACTGAGTTGAGATTTAATATTTATAAATGTATCTGTACAATAATAAATGCATGAGCCATCTGAATAATCTTCAATCATTGTAATATTATTTGTTCTCAATTTGGTATCATTAAATTATCTATTTGTTTTATCTGCACATCATATGGTTACCTTTTGAATTAAGTAAAAGTGCAGATATGAGTATTAATAATTTTTAAATATGTCTATATGCACATTTACTTTATTCAATAAACTTCATTTTACATGTTGGTGTAATGTTCACTCAGTAGTTTGAACAGGAAGGAAGACTGGATTTCTATTTATAATATTAATCTAGTTGCCAATTTCAGACTAACAGTCATACTGCGAAATGAAGTTTATTTTTGTCTTGGCTAAATAATATTTATATTTAAAGATTTTAAATGAATTCACATGCATTGATATAGCTGTGTTTTAATAAAAGTATTGAGACCTGATTATGAAATAAAAATAATTGGAAGTCAGTTCTACCATTTGTATAGTTATATTATGCATCTTTTTGTATATGCAAAACTTATTAGTTGATTACTGAAAATATTTTTTATTTGGATATATTATTATCACATCATGTATGAATTTTACTAGATGTATATAAATTATTATAGGCCTAAGGTACAAACTAATTATATTGTCAGAAATATGTTTGCTAGTGTATCGGTGAAGTGAAGCTTATTGTATACAATACATTCATTTTTATAATCAGGATTCTAAAATATTGACTATTTAGTCACAATGTACATTCATGGTGTGCTTTTATAAAAATAAATGCTATATCAATTAGTAGGCATAAACAAGGAAAACAATGAAAGACTGAAAATATTATGCTAATATATTAATATAACTTTGTGTATATAATATTTCAATGAGATAAGAATATTGAAGGATAATCTTTTTCCATGTATATACAAAAAAAAGTGATCAAAAATTTGTAGTATAAAATAATGACTATAATTCCTTGTTTTTGCTTTTAAATATATTTATTAAAATTAAGTAGTAATTTTTTCACACAGTTAATTTGTACTCTTATTAAATTTGTACTTTTAACAATTGATGGTACAGAGGCATATTACATCTAGTCATATATATGTTTTTATGTTTCTGTGTGAATTAAATTACAGATTACTATTTAAACCAGATCTATGAAATAGTTTTTATTTAATGTGTTATATTTCTTAGGTTTGGTAATTTATTTTGCTATAAGCAAAATAAATATTGTTATATTTATTGACACTGTTATGTTATAATTTTATTTTATTGACTCATTAAAATGAGTAAACCAGTATTACAAAGAGATATTTGCATTTTTATGAAACAACTGTGGTATGGTTTGTATAAAAAATGTGATAATGATTGGATTCATACTCCACACACTTAGATTTAGATGTAGTGAAGTTATTAGAATTAAAATTTAAGAATTACTTCAACATTAACTTATATATGTGTACTCTTCTTAAAATACATTAAGTTTAAAAAGCTGTTTAAAGTAGCAGAATTTTTTTGTAGTTTTAGCTGATAATGTGGGTATTAACAAATCAAAGTTGTATTAATTATAATTTGATAAGATAACATTTTATTTCCTTTAAAATATTTTCACAGAGCATGTATATTTATATATCAGTGTAATTATAACAATATATGTAACTGTTAATATAACTTCCAACCATATCACAGATTAAAATTTGTAGATATCTCATTTACTTTGGTTTACAAATGATGTATCAGCATTTATACATTGAGTCCTATGTCACTAAGGTCAATATTTAGCATGTTGGTGCTAGAAAGATGTTTGAATTAATTATGTATGATGAGGAATGAAAGATTATTATTGTATGTATCTATGTAGTTCATGTAACATAACACCATTCACGTGAGTATAATTTTTGCTTAATCAATCATACTGTACACAAGTCTAGAAGTTCTAGCACCAATACTTAATGTGTTTCACTATATTAACAGCAATTTTGCGAAGAGTGGTCTTTGTACCTTGAATATATATTTTCTTGTACTAGCCTGACGCTTTAGTGGATAACATACTGAAATTATCTGATGTTTTATAGGTTAGTTTATAGAGGGCAGCCATTGTTGTCTGCCTAACCATTTACAAATTTGTTCCATATAGTTTGATAGTAAATTGTGCCTTAATTATTATTATGCTTGTTAACTCGAAAGTCAGTCTCTTGGGAATACATATACAATTTAGTTAAATGTACCCAGAATTCTGATTTTGTTTTAATATTATTTAACCACTGTTTCTCTTATCAGGTTTACATTGAGGTAAGATGTTTATTGCTTGTTTTATGTAGCTCTTGTGTCCTTTTTACAAGTACTTGAATTGTTTTTTTTCTCGAATATAAAATTTGATTGTAAGGGTTGCTGTGTTTCACATTCTATTGTTCAATTGTTTTGGTCCCTGTGTAATTATTGATGGAATAGACAAATTGAACAGAAAATTATAATTTGGGGTTTACAATTCGAATGTTGTGTCTAGAGTAATATAATAATAAATAAATAAATTTCGGTGTTTTTTATCATTTATATATATTGTCTGTAAAAGTTACTTAACTGAATTAAATAGCGGTAAAATATGTATAATTTTATTTATTCTCGAGTAAATTGTATAATCTTTCGTGTAATTTGGTTACTATTTTTGTGTAACAATTTTCGGGTTTTTAATATTATTTACTGACTGAAATATGTCAATCGTCCAAAATGTGTTCATTATGATATTGCAGAGTTTATATCGCGGTTAGATCTGTACATTATGAAACATTGTAAAAATATATTGTTACTTATAACAGCAGAGCGAAGCTACGAATTATTAAAATATACTTTAATATCCCTGTAATAATATTCAACGGCAGTAGTATAAATAACATTACTTATATAATATTTAACATTAAACAAATATATGAATGTAAATATTACTCACTTAAATCGTTTGTATCAATTACTCAAGGAATTGTTTTTGTTAAATATAATGGAACTATTTATACACATTATGAATTGGATTACTTTATTTCTATTTCGAATATTGAAGGAATGTTATAAATAATAACTTATAAACGAACTAAATATTACCTTGTTACTATATTACCGTTTAATACAATACCTGTTTCCTTATTTATTGTTCAGTAAGAACTTTGTTCCCGTTCATTGTCCAATTTTAGCAGTTTGTTGGCTGCTTTTGTTTATTTGCTTATTAATTATAGTGATAACGCTTGGTATGACCAAAACTATCTGTGGTGATTTAATAAAGGATAGTAACAAAGAACGCTCTTTCTTTTTTCCCAACGGCTCCTGCTGCGGTCGGTTCGCGGTTTCGAAATAGTAAACATGCACGAGAGTAGTTGGAAGTTCAATTGAAAGATAAAAGTTGCGATATTTTTAGTTTCAACTGCCATATTTCTATCGAAATATTAGTACACTTACATATACATTTAAATCCTTATGTTCGAGTCGAGTGATTACATAAAAAATAGTACATAGTTAAAAATATAATAGAAAACTTTGATTACAACAGTATTATGAATAAAACATTTACGTTATATCCCACGTGTAGGTAGGTATTTTAGTTTATATTATATTATAGTATTTCCTCACTAGTATATTTTTATTTCTAAAAGATATTATTGGTTCTTTAGTATGAATATAATTTTCGTTTGTGGTAATAGTACAAACTGTTTGTAGTTTGTACTATTGAAGCCAAGTTGAAGAAACGTAAGTGAATCATAAAATTCGTCCCCACGCCTTTATTTCAAATGCGATTTCCGAATATATACTTTTTTATTCAATTTCACATTAATACTAATACGCATCGGTTTAGGCGCAGTTGTGTAATACAGTTTTAAACATGGAAAGACGATTGTTAGGTTTTCGTTGTCATCATTTTAGGGCGCTAGTTTCCAAAACGAGGTATGTTCATTGGAAAAGGCCAAATATGTACGTATGTATGTTCTATTTTATTGTATGTACGTCTTTTTCTTGTAGTTGAGTTGTCGGTACACCTTTTACAGTGGGCTACAGACCAAGATGTGGCTAATGCAGTCGGTGATGTCGGTGTAACCGACTTTCAAGATGTGAAGTTCTTCGAGAATAGAGCAAATGGACAGTCCAAGGGGTTCTGCGTTATATCCCTTGGTTCGGACCAGTCTGTTAGGATGGTCATGGATCGCCTGCCAAAGAAAGAGATACATGGGCAGCATCCTGTTGTCACCTTACCCACTAAACAGGTATGCTAATGAAATGTTTCTAAGAGTATTATTATGTGCATTAGCAAAGCGCATAACTATATGGATTGATTTTGTTATACTACGATGGTGGCAAACAAGCATACTGCTCATCCTTACGAAATACTATGGGTGTCACGTGCGCTTTGCCGACCTTTATAAAATATTTATGACGTTTATTGAGGGCTATGGAGTTACATCTCTGTATATTATAATTTCATTGCATATTTTTTAACCTAAACACAGCATACAAATTAATATGTTTGGCAAAAATAGGCGAGACATAGGTACTTAGAGACGACTTTACCGAGAGTGTATCTGAAATTAGAATTTGTGTCATGAGACCTGGCGATTGATTTACAAATTAAAATCCACAATCATTGTATTTTGTGTTTACCCACTCTTGCGAATAAGGAGATATATAATGATATATATTGGTGTGGGTATGTGTGATAATGACTTGTTTGTTCTAAGCGTTAATAAAATATATTGAATTTGTTTTACTCAAGTAGGTATCATATTTATTTAATTTTGTTGTGCTTGCTATTTGGTATTGTGAGTGTGTGAGTTGTGAATACAAACTCACACAAGTCTTAAATATGTAATGCAGAACAACATGCAAGTTGCATGCTTGTTCTTGTGATGAATCTGCTTTCCGAATGAGCGGTAGATTCATAAAAATATTATATGGCTATTCAAAAATGCTTATAATGAATTATTTCTATTTCTTAATTTAAACGTAATAGTGAGTCTTACTGTTTACTAAAAATTCCAGTAACAATGGAGTTGGCATATATTTCAGAACTGCCAGTGCATTTTGATTTAGTCCAGATGTAATAAAATACATAATATAAAGTTTATGATATTTTAATGCATCTTTAATAATAATATCATATGTGTAATTTAAATTTTGTACAACAATGCAATTGAAATTTAAGAAATAGGTGCAGTAATCCCTAGAGTTTTCTCTTCATATTTATAATAATAGGAACAATAATAGCACATTGCAAAGTCGTTATTTAAATTTAGATATATAACTGATGTTCCACAGGCGCTGAACCAGTTTGAGAGTCAGTCTAAGACCAGATCGACTCCCCCTGGACCCAACCCTGGCATGAGAGGACCGCATCCGGGCGGTCCACCCGGACCACATCCAGGAGGTAAAAAAAGCATTACGGATATTTATTTAAAAAAAATTAAAAACATGGTGACTGCACATTAGATGGAAAATCGTGATCATTGCCTATACGTGATACCTTTGGCCATAGTAAAGCATGTGGTATCACTTATACGGTGCAATTTTTAATGAACTTGTTAATGCCTCTGTAATTTCGTTGTAATATTTCGGATTACATTGGAACATAGATTACAAAGTAATCTGCTTGGCGGATGAAATAGGTAGACAGAAGTACGTAGACGACTTCTTATGATGTCGACCTTCATTAAAATTCGCCTTGTCGAAGATATCATGTAACATACAGAAATAGACAAATTGGCTAGGAATGACATTTTTAATGTCAGTAAAATACGTGTTTATTTATTATTGAATTACTAGAATTGTCCATTAAATAAATGTTTATTTTTCGTTGCATTACTAGAATTTTTCGGCGGAGGACCAAACGGTCCGGGTCCGAACGGCCCTCGCATGATGATGTCGGGCCCCGGGCCGCACCACCAGATGCGCGGGCCGCCGCCGGGCCCGCACGGGCCGCACCACCTGCCGCAGCACCCGGGCCCGCCGCACCACCTGCAGCACCAGGGCCCGCCCGCCCACCAGGGGCCCCCGCCGCACAGGCCGCCCATGCAGGTCTGTCTACACCCAAATATATTGTTATACTCATTTCACATAGCACAGAATAAAGAAAATGTAGTTTTACTTTTAATTTTATAATATTTGTAATTTTTGTATTAATGCAGTTTTGCGTAGAATGTGATATAATGTATTGGTCTATCATATATTCATTGACTTTCGAAGCCATTTGAATATTGTAGTTTTAAATTGCATACCGTCATGGTTGTATCATTAATACTACTTAGGATTGTAGTACATTCTTGTGTTGTACATAGTTAATGGTTAATATCTTGTGCAGTTCCAAGGGCCGCCGCAGATGCAGCGGGCCCCGGGTCCGCGGCCGGGCCCCGAGTGGGGCCCGCGCGGGTCCCCGCACCACCTGCCGCCGCAGCCAGCGCCGCAGTACGGCCCGCCGCAACACCAGATGCCGCACCAGTTGCCGCCGCCGCACGCAGTACCTATCTATTTCTCACATTGTTTTACTATAAATACAAAGAATTTCGCTTTTACAAACACGTCTCGACGCTACTTCGACTCTGCCCTATCCCACCCTAACCCGCTTATAGTCAGTGCGGTCGACTACACACCGAGGAGTAATATCCGACATACGCGACAACGTCGCCCGAGGCACGTTCTCATTGACCCCGACGATCCCATAACGGCAGGTAACCTCCCCACGGGTCCACCCGTTCCACCCCGACACACACACACACACGATACCGTCCTCGCCGGCGAAGACGACGACCTCAAACACACAATATCGCGCATTCAACCGAGCTCCTGCGCGCGCCCGAGCGCTCCACACCGGCGCCCCGGGCGCCCCTCCGATCGATCCCCCGTCCAATTCAAACGGGGATCGAAATTATGACGGCCTGAGCCGAGGTTCAAACCCCTAGTGGTGCCCTCAGACTAAAGTCGTATCCGTCAGGCAGGAGTTCAGCTTTAGCCGCTCCATAAGTCCTTCCGCGGATTTGGAGTGCCATCTGCACTCGCCCCTAACATCCGGTGAAGCTGTAAAGGCCAGGTACGGCCAACATAGTAGTCCGAAAAAAAAATTTTACAAACACAAATTCAAAATTACTAAGGACAAATCACACAGTCCCAAACTGAGCGGAGCTTGTCTTATGGGTACTAAAAATAATTTATAGAGATGCACAAAACTATGTATTAATAATAATTTATATAATAACAGCTATATTCCTATTTTGGAAAAAAAGTGAGCTTCCTACAATAACTGAACTGTGAGAAACCAGTCAGGTCACAAATGTTTAAGTGTGTAATATTAAATGTATATATAATATTACACTTCTCTAATAATAGTAATGTTTTGCACAGGCACCTGGCCAAGGTCTTCCGCCGCCTCATCACCAGCTGCCACCACATCAACAGGGCCCGATGCGAGGCCCCGCACCTCTACCACAACATCCAGGTATGTCAGTGACCGTACCAACTTAGATTCTTACTTCAGGCTCACATTCGAAAAACCAATGAAGTAATACTGGTAGAGTTCGCTGTACTGTGGCAAACAAATGTTTCTAAACATTATGCAATAAATATCATATGTGTAATACTGGTAGAACTCACTATACTATAGGAAACAAATATGCCTAAAGACCACAAATTAATAAATAAAGGACTGGAAGTTGACGAACCTTGGAAATGGGGATCCTTAATCCTACACCCAAGCAATAGGTCCCGGAAACTGCCTGAAATATCCCTCACTCTTGGATTCTATCCTTACTTTCTTTTGCCTTATTAGCTTCCTGTATCCTGTAATATCTCACCGTTCTCTGAAATACACAGCTTACAAACAAGTTACTTGATGGCAGAAATAGTTTACGTTGATTACAAAGCTTGGCTTCAGAAATAGTCAATGCAGAGGCATTCATACAGAATATTTTGTACACAGTCTACTTAGTAAGGATAACTATGTCTATATTTGTTGCTTTTTTCTATTTTTATTTTATACTAGCTGCACCCGCGACTTCGTTCGAGTGCAAATTAACTTTATTTTTCTAAAATAAAAGTAGCCTAAGTAACTTCTTATTACATCAGCTATCTGCTAATAAAAGTCCCGTCAAAATCGATCCAGCCATTTCAGAGATTAACCGGAACAAACAGACAGATAGACAGACAGACAAAAATTGTAAAAAAAAAGTCATTTTGGTGTATGTACCGTATTTATATTCATATGCATGTAGTAAAAAACTGTTATTTCAATATTACAAACAGACACTCCAATTTTATTTATATGTATATTATATATATGTAGATTTTTTGCCAGCTAATTGGGTAAAACAAGAAGCCATTTATGGTCTGTAGTGGAAGAGGCCAATGTTATGATGTTTCTTTATGTCTTGTATATTTTAGTTTCATAACTATTTTTATGTTACGGGAATGTCAAACAACCTGATGACCCATCTAATGGTAATCGGTCAGTGTACATAAACAGCATCACGGAAATCACGTTATGTTACGCTCGAAATATGCGATTCTTGCCTTCCGAAGGACTAAAATATAATATCAGTTTCAGTGTCTATAATAGATACTGCTTACAAAGCGAGTTGTTTAACACCTAACATAAGTGAGCTTACAGTACCCGCAGATAAGTTAAATATAGGATAGGTTTCCTTAAAGTGTACCTCGGTAAAACTTGTGTGTAGAAACTTGTTAGATTATAATGTTACGTGTGCAATCGGCAGGCGTAGCCGTGGGCGGAGCGCCAGCGCCGCACGTGAACCCCGCGTTCTTCAACCAGCAACCGCCCGCCCACCAGCCGCCCGCACACCAACCTCCGCCCGGCGTGCAGCAGGCGCCGCCGCCAGGTACGTACCTATTTTTTTTCTATAGCACTGACGTAGAGTAATGCTGACGGATGACATGGATTTTTATAATGATTTTATTTATTACTTAACTGATATTGTTTTTTAAAGTTATACCTGTAAATATAAATTGGACTATAAAGTAGAAAGTAGGCAGACAGACAGTAGTCCACACTGCCACTGTACAATTTTTTTTTATGACTTTTACAAACCATTAAGAACACTATAATCTTATATTTAAAAAAGACAGTATAACTATGTAATATTGAATATTACATAGTTATACTGTGTTGTTGTAAAAGTTTGAAATACGAGTGAAGTCTGTTTGAAGGTTAAATTTTTATTAGAGAAATAACGTAAATGTATGAACGTGCTGGTATTGTTAAACCTTTATAGGACCCGGTACACCGTACGGTCACCCGCAACATAATGCTCCGCCGCCAGGACCTCCACCCGGAGCACGGCAACCCTACGGGAGACCACCACAGGTAATGCTTCAACTAATATCACAAAATTTACCTGATATAAAAAATAATGATCATTGATTGATAACATTATTAAACATTCCATGATAAGAGATATGTATTTATATAAAAAAAAACACAGAAATAGAATCTATATTATTTTAAGTTACCAAAAATTACTCTTAAGAATGATTACTAAACAAGTAGAGCATTAATTATGCAATAATATTTCCACTAATTAATTAATAATAATTAGGATACATGAGGTATTTTGAAAAATTAGTAGTAATACATATATTAATGAATTGCACCGTTTCTTGTCTTTTTGTTCTTGAACTCGATAATCGTCACAATTTTGATGATGGGTGATTATGGAATCGTGTTATCGATTGTGTTAACGTTATACATTGGTGGTAAACTATTGGAGGATGATCAGATGAGCATGAAGTCAGGCTAGTTAGCTCATCGTGATAAATTCACTAGGATATCATAATAATGATGGTTTCTAGTGTGAAGCGTGGAGGTCAACCTGATCGGTACATTGTTAGCGATGGGGTCATTAGTCCACATCACTAATCCCCTTCGCCTAACCGTTAAGTATTAGGACTTGATAGTATTGAGTTCGTTGCCACCAATGTTGTGTATGTTTTGTTTTCACAAGCTAGCTGCAGATCGACTGCTGAGCAGTTTTGCAGCTGGATAATACTATAGTGTAGTAATATATAATGTATTCCCATGCGGTGTAGAGCTACGGCGGCGGGCCGGGCGTGGGCCCGGGCGTGGGTCCGGGCGTGGGCCCCGGCGCGGGCGCGGGCGCGTCCCCGGGCCGCGGGCCGCACCACGCGCTGCCGCCGCACCCCGCGCACCCCGCGCACCCCGCGCACCCGCAGCACGCCCCGCACCCGCAGCACGTGCAGCACGCGCCGCACGCGCAGCACGTGCCGCCCATCTCGGAGGCGGAGTTTGAGGAGGTAACTATTAGGAAATACTAGAGTTGCCACGAATATTGATTTGGCCGAATACCGAATATTCGCCGATTATGCCGTCGAACGAGACATGCGTGTCGACCGCGTAAGCAAGAACCTAGTCCCAACCTGTCTCCCTCGTTCCGAGAAGTTTTCTAGGATTGGTTCAAATGCTGAAAAACTTGTTTTCATCCATCATAATTTACCACTGATCAATTTTACTTACTAAGAGATTGTAATTTATTAATAAATACATAGAATCTTGAGTAATATGACGTGTATTTTTTTCATGATTTGGTATTCGGTGTTCGATGAAATTATTTGATCGATTTGAATTATTTTGACTATTCAGTATTCGGTCGAATACCGAATAGTAGCCGAATATTCGTGACATCTCTAGTAAATACCACCACCTCTACGGGAATTTAGTTTATAGTCAGATTACATTCATTGTGAGCGAAACTTGCGTGTAAAAGAATTTAACTTAAGTAATAAATGACCCTGAACGATTCACACGGCCCCATCTAGTCACAAGCTGAGCAGGGCTTTTGTTATAGGTACTATGGAAGTATATATATACTAGTGGACTAATACATAAGTGCCACAATCCTCGAAAAGGTTTCCCTGCATGGGAATCAATATGCCTATCATTTATTTTACTTTATTATAAGACTTACATTATTGTTGACATAACCAGGTAATGAACCGCAACCGCACCGTCTCCTCTTCCGCTATCGCGCGCGCCGTCAGCGACGCAGCCGCTGGAGAGTACGCATCCGCCATCGAGACGCTCGTTACAGCCATCTCACTCATCAAACAGAGCAAGGTGCTTTATTTATCTATTTTTACTCAGCATTAAGTGTCAATATAAGTATTTTTAATTTCCTCAATATATACATTTACCTATGCCTACTCCTCAATATATAAAATTGACCTTGGAGCATGCTTTACAAACTTTAATTTCTCTGTTTAATTATAATAGTATAGTATAGTATAATAAAATAGTAAAGTATGTAAATTACTAAGGTAAACTACAATGTTAGAACTTTGTTTTCAGGATAACTGACTAATATACAGACTATAAATAAAAGTATGAAAGCACGATAGAAATCAATACAAAATGTATTGTACTAGAGCGGTGTTACCCAATTAGTGGTATGCGTACCCCCAGGGGTACGTGAATTGCATCAAGGGGTACGTGCGGCTATCAGTAAATCAAACATACACACACCCTCACAAACTTTCACATTTATAATATTAGTGTGATTGCTACAATAAGGGGTATGGAAGGTTTGAGGTCTTTTTTGAAGTGGTACGCAGCAAAAACTATTTGGGAACCACTGTACTAGAGAAAACATACCCTAAATAATTACATTTGTTAATGAAGTTGTCTACCTACATATATTTGAAGTTCCAACTATAATTTTTGAATCTAATTATCTTATAAATTTTATAATCTAATAATGTTTACAAAATCTCATCACAGGTGGCACACGACGACCGCTGCAAGATTCTAATATCCTCCTTACAAGACACACTACACGGTGTGGAGACAAAATCCTACAGCAGTGGCGATAGATCGCGGCGGTCAAGATCGCGCGAACGCGACGCACGTGCGCATCACCGCGCCCCCCGGCGTCGCGAGCGGTCAGCCAGCCGCTACAGGGAGCGCAGTCGGGAACGTGAACGGGACCGCGACCGCGACCGCGAGGAGAGAGACAGGTATACATCACTTAACCATTCATTCACCACAATCTACAGGTGCATGTTAACCATTCATTCAGCTCATTCTACAGGTAAAGTAAAGATTCGGGACTAGTATTCATCACTTAACCATTCATTCAGCTCATTCTACAGGTACAGTAAAGGTTCGGGACTAGTATTCATCACCTTACTATTTATTTAGCTCATTATACAGGTACACGTAAAGATTGAGTCACGCGAAAGTGGGTATTCAATCTAGATTCTTTACATCTAACTAATATTACAAACGCGAAAGTTTGTGAATTTAGATGCATGTTTGTTACTCTTTCACGCAAAAACTACGGAATACATTTTGATGAAACTTTACAATATCGTGGATAAAGCGTTAAAAAATATATTATATAAATTGGACAAAATATAATGGTAAATGTCAAGTGTGAGTCGGCTGGTTTGTTTATATATTACTTAATGGTTAGAATATAATGTAATTATTATGAGGATCATTGGTAATCAGTTTGTGACAGAATGCACGTATTGGCATTGCAGAAAGATGTTTCATGTCGGTTTATTTTCTACTATATATATCATGGAGTGTTCTAAGTATATGATGAGTATATGAATGGTATTTCCGAACCGATACAATATTGAAATCTTCAAGAAAAAACTTATACCGCCTTAAAGGCGCGCAACTCACCTACATTTTCTTGAGTGTTGCGGGTTCCTTATGGGCGGCAGTAATGACTTAACATCACATGTGGCACAAACTCGTTTACCCCTACGATACTAAAAATCTACTTATACTTGAAATGGATTTTTTGTTTAATGAGTATTCAATCTGACTTTAGGGTTGATATTGCCTTTACGGTTAATCCTGTATATTGTGAATAGTTGGTAATAAAGTGCAGTAGACAGTTGCTGTAATCTGTTTAAAAAGAAAAAGTTGTCCTAACGCTACGGATACGGGTCTTTCTTAATAAGAGATAGAGCTACCGCAACGACCAGGCGGGTTATTGTTGCATAAAGGTTATGTTTTTATGCTTAGGCGGCTTGAAGTAGTTTTATTGCTTTATGTTATATAAGTAATTGAATATCAAATTCAATTATACGATATAACGTCATGTTTTAGTCCCTACAGTGTTTTCTTAAAGTTTGAATATATATATTAAAATACTATACGTTTTATGTTTTAAAAATGAATTCGGTATAGTTGAAGGAAGTATATTACGGAAAGTAGGTAAAATATGTTTAATTGTTAATAACAGTATGTTCCTACTTTTGGATATAAGTACGAAACGCTTTGATCTATGAATATCTACGAATAATTTAGTGCAGAAAATACATTCTCTCGTTTCTATTTGCGTTCATATTGTTAAATAATAAAAATATGAAAGTAATGTCTGAACCTGAATGTATTTAATTGCAGGTACAGCGAAAGGTCGAGGGACCGTGATCGCGAACGTGATCCGTAAGTGACCACTCGGACCGCCACTTTCTATCCTTTAACGAAATAATATCTTTCCGTTTGCATCAATATTATATTACTAAAATATATATAATATAATAACCCTTTAACGCGCTAGTAATTTCATTTATATACTGTGTTAATGGTGTATTAATTATGTCCATTAGTTTTAAAACCCCCTAATCCGAAATTTTGATTTAATCTTTGCATTGCAATCTTCATGATAAATTTTTGTATTATTTGTAAATTCTATATTTTTTTGACGTATTCTTTCTTGTAATAATCTATTATATATCGTTGTCTTATTAGTCGTATTTTCAATTATTCCGCATTTTTTCTCATAAAACCCTCAATACATCTCACTCATCATCAGATATCTCTGCTTATTTGGTCCTTGCTTGCACGGTATATTATTTTGTGCGTAAATTGTTACTGCTCTGGTCATGTACCTTATACAATTGTACCACCTAATACTTTTTGAAGTTTCCTTATTTCAGACGCCAAGCAATTTGCATTCTTTGATGTGTTTTGGTAGAAGGCTGAAATGATATTACAGGAGCATGCTATCGTAGTCCTGCTGAATTAACTATTCTGGAGTCGCACGACAGTCAGATAACAATGTTTATGGTGCTCGCTAGATATATAGTCGACGGTTAGCCATTATCAGTTGGGCCGCAGTAGTATAAGTATGGTACATATTAGTAGCCGTAGTATTGTAGTTTTAATGATTTGTTTTCTTTTGTTAACAGATATGCATACAGGGATTATAGAGAACGTGAACGCGACAGGTCAAGATCCCGTGACCGCGAGCGTGCTGACCATTATAATAGAGGACACAGCAGAGAAGAGAGGTAATATAGTTTCAAAGTTTTAAAATTCATAAATATGATTTTTAAATTACATGGAAATTAAATCAGTGTCTTTCGCTTGTCATGGCAGAGCGATAAAAAATTCAGGCAATACATAGAAGCTTTCATAAAATATTACTGAGGAACTTTATTTTTATGGGATGGGATTTTTTATTTAATCATCATGATTTTTCGTCAATGTCTGATAACATTTTCAACGCACATGTGGATCTAATTTCACCGGTTTTCGATGTATAAAGCAGTTCATAAAACTACTAAAATAATATAAGTTATATTCCATAAACGCACTATTTGCTATTTTTTTTTATCAAATTTCTAACTGACCGCCACGCTACGTCATAATAGGCAGCGCGCTGATTTATAAAGGAAAACTGAGGGAAAGCAACAGTGCAACACAATTTAATGGTTGAGTTTTTTTAAAAACAAGTGTGTTGAATGACGTCCCACGATATACGTGCGTATTTAACACACTCGGGTCTATTACGCCCTTGCCTTCAGCTCCGGCTGAATGAATGATTTAACATGATAACTTACTGATGTCATAATATACTATTAAGAATTCCATTCATATTAAAAATGTTCCTCAGGCCGCGCAAGTCGCCGGTAGAGGTGGCGCCGGAAGGTGGCGCTGGTGATGCCAGCAGCGCGAAAGCACGAGCCGCGCCGTACTACGACGAGCGTTATCGTGAGAGACGCGAACGAGACGCGCCGCCCGCTGACCGTGATCGCGAACGCGAGCATCGCCGGGACGCAAGACACTAGTGTGTTACCAAAACTGGCCACGTACATAATACTACAACCGCAGATACGGATATGCATAAATGTGTCAATCGTAACCACAGACTAAAAATATTTCGTTAAATCTTTACATAGATAGTATAAAACAAAGTTGTCGCCGCTGTCTGTTGAGCTTATATCTTTGAAATTATGCAACGGACTTTAATGCAGTTTCCAGCAATAGACAGTATTGAACAAACTGAAAGATTTGTATTGCATCCGTACTGTGTCGGGACGGGTCGCTAGTTATGTATACAATTGTAAACCAACAACTTAATGCAATGTACTTTGCATGTCCGTTTTTTGAGACTATTAAGTTGTGAGTTGCTATATGATATCTATTTATTTTAGTCGCAATTGGTATACCAAGGTGAAACCCATGAAATAATATTCATAAACACAGCCAAATTTCTTGCCAAAATTCTTGAAATTTGGTTTTGTTTATGATTATTATACTACTGATTTACTTATTGCTCTCAGGTATAATTATTATCTATTCCACTCCTAACTTAAAATCTGCTTAAGATTGTCAAATCAAAACGAAACTTACACCGTTTCGTAGCTCCACAATAAATATCGTCTTTTCATTTGCATACTAAATAAAAAGACGATATTTATTGTAGAACTACGGAACGGTGTAATTTTCGTGTCAACCGTATCATTACTTATGCAGAGTCAAATCATTATTTGTCATAGCCTTTATAGAATGTTGCTAGAATAACTGAATAGAAGCGGCTGTGCGCGAATTGCAACTTAGGATTGTTCTATCGTCATTTCTTGACGTATCATTCGAAAAGTGTTATCTGGACTGAAGATTCTGTGCGCAATACTGTACAAATATGTATTTACAAACCCTACAAGCCTTTAAGAGCGTTCGCATCTACCGATATCTTATTCTTTTATAGCAATAAACTGTATAAATCTATCTATAAGGGTAGTCGTAAAGGGTATCAACACTTTCAAGAAATTGATCCAAAGAAGCAAAGTGAAAATTTGTATTTACTTGATAAACACACCGAGTGGTAATGTTCAAAAGTCATTTTCAGATTTTCACATTTTCACGTAGGAAGTAATGATGGGTCATGACTATTCTACCTAGGTTATGACACTGTATACTCATTATCGATAACCCTGTATACATAAATTATATATACAATAGAAATAGCACAGTTTTTCATAGTAATATTTCACTCTAAATGTGACATGGAAAATGTGAATTAACTTATATTCGGTTTCGTTTGTGTTTGTGTAAGTTTTATGGAACATTAATTAAGTTGAAAAGATAATTATTTAGTACACGTGATTATCTTTTTAAAAAATTGTCCGTATTTTTCACTGTTTTGTTACAATAAGAGTCTCAAATTGGTTTTTTATTACCATATCACATGGATGGACTTTATTAGTGGAACATTACATAATCAAATTGGAAGTTGTTAACATTCCAATATCTAACTTATTGTATTTCCAAAATTAACAACATCTCTTAATGTCTATTTTTAGACATGATTTGTAAAGAATTGAAAACATTGTTTACGTTTGTTTGCGTTGTGCAAATAGGTATAGTTAAGTACTAGATAGGATTTAGTCATAGTTTTAAGATTTTTTGTATGGTTTGTCCGTACATTTTATTTCTCGGTAAATTGATTGAAATAAATTGCTGTATCAAATTTACTGGTGGTATTATTTACTTATTTATTTTTAATAAACCTCCTCAGAAAAAGTTATTGTCTGTGAAATTCTAGCAGTTCTTTTTTTTATAAATAAATTATGGATGCGTTGGAAGCGACCACCGTAGGACCGACCGTCTGGGAGATTTTTGGGAGATGCATTTGTTCCGCAGTGGAAATTTTCGTGCCTGAAATGATGATGAAAATACATTCTTAATTCTTATAAATGTAAATTGTGTGAAAATATTCGCTATATAATACCAGTTTCTGTTAAATTTCATAACTAATGTATATGTGTAACATTGTATAATATGGATTTGAGTTAAAATGTGTAAAAAAATCATTTGAATTGACAGATGTTTAAAAAATAATAAAATCAGTGTGACGTAATTCATTATTTAAACCTAACCACAGATGTTGTATAACAGTATCAGGTTAAAAAGTATATCTTTATATTAGGATATTTTCAATTACACAACATGTATGCAATATCATAATTCATTTCATTTTTTCATAGTCTTATTCTTGTTTAGATTTATTTTGAGTTACGGGATTAACAAATCACAATTGACGCAGTACGAAATACTTGTTTTAAAGTTTTAATTAATTGAAATAAAACTGTTCAACGTGACGGCAATACTCTAGGAATTTGCGTCTTCCAGTTTTCTTTTAATTGAAAAAAATATACCAATTATCCAGAACAATTTTATGAAGTTTAAAAATAACTACACGTTATTTGAAGATTTTAAAATGTTCAGTGGTCTGTAAATGGTATTGGAATGAACTTTAAAAACATCGAAGTTACTGAAATATTGCTTTCGTTTATTTAAATATTGAAAATTAATTATCTACTACCTAGCAAGTAATCATTACGTTATAATATCTACATAAAAAACCAAACCTAAAAATATTCTTGTCAGTCTGTCTTATTTCTGGCTTAAAACTACATTCCAAACTGACGTTATATTTGACTTATTAAGGTTTGTGATTAGGATGATTAAGTAAAATATAAATAAATATATACGGTTTTCCCCGTAATAAAGAACTGATATGGGTTGTGGTGTGGTGGTTATATCCCTGTGATCAATAACATTCGTAGGCACTAGTGAGAAAGTGTGTTGGCTGTGGTTTAAAGGTTACCAACTGTTCCAATTTAATTGGGACAAGCATATTTCAGATTTCCAGATTCTATATTACGTTTTCATGTTAGGCTTCTCGTAAATCGATATATTTCAAGATAGTCGCTGTCACATCCCGATGGCATGTTACATCGATTACATAGAAGGTCGAAGATTCTAGTAGGTAAAAAGGAGAGGTGGCTTGTTAGTAAAAGAGTGGTTTCAATGCTAGCAATGTACAATGTTAGGTCAAGCTGTATACGGTGTTCCTTCGTGGTTAACATAAAAACTAGTGAATTAAGCATTAAGAGTTGAAGTCATGATCTTCCAATCATTCCCTACTAATGCCATGGTTGTGTCTTAATAGCGCTAGTGGGTGAGGTATTCATTTATTAATCAACAAAAAACCTACTTTGTAAAATATAATTCGAAAAGATAAAAAGGTGTAGGTACGCATGTTCTATCACCGTATTGCTTAGTAGAGCTATGTAATATCATCTTATCTGTGGTAGAAGCAAAGGACGTTCAATAATACTGGCCACCAATAAAACTATACTTCTAAATAGAAGAACAATAATAAATTCAAAATAAGAATTAAGAAGGACGCTCCGAACTAATGACTAGGCTGTATGGACCATGCTCTTCGCTCTTCCGAATTGGACGAATTCGAAATTTTATATTTGTTATAAAATCTACACTAGACTGCGTGTCCATTAAACTATATATCTACTACGTCGCGTAGTCACGTGCCTGAGCAAAGGCGAGTATGTTTGATATCACTTTACTGTATTTTGGGAGTATTTCTCTTTTCTCTTAAGTACTTAAACTATTTAATTTTCTTCGAAATACAGTGTAAATCTAATCTATCTTTTGAAACTTTTTGCCACCCAGAACCACATTGTGGTATCACCTTCCAGCAATGGTATTTCTGAACCGATACGTTATTAAAACCTTCAGGAAAAGAGCTTATTCCATCTTAAAAGGCCGGCTACGTACTTCCAATTCACCTGGTGATTCGGTTGCTCGTGGGCGGCGGTAATCACTTACTATCAGGTGAACCGCAAGCTTGTTTGTCCTCCATACTATTAAATATAGTTCGCTATTGCTATTTCCTTGTGCGGATTCGTAATTGAACAAAAAGGAAAAAATTATATTTATCATTAAATTGTGATTTCTAGAGAAATTCAACTAATTTAATGGACCATTTATTCACTGTAATAGCATTTTCCATATGTAATATGTGTTTCTTTTTTCTTGTCTTTTATCTATTAAATCCCCAGAATTCAATTTCATAGTTAGTCAGCCTAGTTGTGGTGTGGTTGGAAAGTTAATCAATCGGCCATCAAAACAGACGCCTACGTTGATCCTTTTATTAATTTCGTCCCAAACGTTTAAGAACATTATTACGCTCCTCTGATAGGGTGCCATATCTATAGGTATGTGTACTATAAAGGTCGAACTAGTTAATAGTTGATTACATATTAAATTGTAAGGTTAAACATCTACACAAATAAATAAAATTAAAGTATCTGTTTGTAATTTCAGTTTATCAGTTTCACTAAATGCATAAGAAAGTATATAGGGTATTTATTTAAAAAAATTGTCTGCCAGTCTGTCTGTGCTTGCTAATGTCTGGAACTGTTGGACTGATTTTGACGGGAATTTCACTCATAGATAGCTAATGTTATAAGAAGTAACTTAGGCTAAGTCTAACTTCTTATAACATTACCTATCTGTTAGTGCGATTCCGTTTATTTTATACATCTTATTTAGTTGATGATGAAACTTAAATTATACGAGAACGGCTGGCCCCTAGAAAGACTAGATGAGATTATTTCAGGTCCCGTACAACTTTTTAACAGAGGAAGCAGAAGTAAACATTCATAGCTTATAGGTGTGTGTTTTTTAAATATTGTGAAAGTATGTACTTAAAATTAAAAAAGGCAATGTAATATTAACCTGTTGGTATAGTTGAAATCCTACAACAGTGTTGTATAATCATTTAGTACCGGGTATTTATGTAGCAAGTAGGTATAGGAATTGGTATCCCGGTAGCCACCTACGTTGCTCATAATTGGAAACAATAATGTTCAGACGTGCGTATCGGGAAATAAAAATCTGTGGAGTAGCTCACACTGTTTGTAGTAGTATTGTATTTAAAGAAATTGAATAATAAACAGGTGATAGCTCACTGGATAGTAAGTTATAATCAAAACCCTTATAACATATCACTACCACTGACGTCTCAAAATATATTTTGACGCCCATTATACCCTTCAGAGGATGCGATTTCTAAGAAATATTTTTAGATCTTTCACCCGCATATAATTTCAAGGGCTAACGTAACTGTCTTCATCCTGAAACACCGCATATATATACAGTTGGCGTAGGCGGGTGCTTCAATTTATAATTATCGATAAAACACTACATACTTAGTTACATTTTTTTATTAGATACGTCGCTTTTATTTAATTAAATTACACTGACAAATAAGATGACGACCAACCCGGAAAGAGACAACGCAACGTGTGACACTCGTCATAATTCTAATGCGTTGCCATCTATGAGGACTATTATATGCCTCTTATCCTGTAATTTCAATGCCATAGATCACATCTTACAAAACAAGCTGCTTGGCGGCTGAAATAAGCAAGATTATAAGGTACCCACGCAGACAGATCTACAGCTTACAGTCTTCCTCTAAAACTGGTGGCGGTAGTGACGTTTGTGCTGCAGATACATTATAATAGCCTCTCTGCAGAAGTCCAT